TGTTTAAAATTTTCATGAATGCTTCTTATAAGCTATGAGTTCTATTCTTAGACTTTTTAGCAGCGTCATAGCAGCTCATGGAATGGCTCCGAGTTTTTCAAAAACAAACTTTTAGCTCATAGCTCCGTTATCTCTTGAGCGATTTGAGATCTAAGTACAGTTTTGGACTGAGGAGGTCAAGCCCTTTCAATTAATGTATTTCAACACGCCCAAAGTCTCAAAGATTAATTTATTGTATTCCTGCCTATGAGAATTTCAATTTGAAGGTAGGCTGGTACAGATCCTTATGAGTAATAAAATCGAATCGGGTATACACGCGTCCCACGCTTCGTATTGCTGGCGCACAAAAATATAGCTAATGAAAAAGAAAAAAAGGTCTCATAAATTAATTTACTCTAATCCTGCCTAAAATAATTTCAAGTGCTTTGGTTATTTAGATTTCCCTCTAGTTCATTTCAAAAATGGCCCGTTATTATTCTGTAGCTTCACATTTGCACAATAGGGTTGGTTTGAATTTCGCGCAATACGAGGGCTATCTACGCTAACCATCCCTAATTTAGCAGTAATAAACTGGCTAGAAGGAAATTAGTCAACATCACCAACCGCCAACTCTTAGACTACTCTTTTACCAACGAATAGTGGGATTGATCGTCACATTATAAGGCCCTCACGGTTGAAAGGGCGAGCATGTTAGGTGGGACGGGGATTCGGACCCGCGACCCTCAGATTGTGAGTTTTGTTAAAATATTAAGAAGTCTATTTTTCTAGATTTCCAATTTTTCATTATGTATCGAATTCCGATAATAAAAATATGATTTTTTTTAATATTTCATGTTTTTCATATCTGAAATCAATACATGATGTAAAATTGGAAGTCCAAAAATGTGAACTTCTGAATATTTGAATAAAACAATTTTTGAAATCGACAAATACTTAGGATTTTTTTATTCTAAATAGTTTGTAATTACATACCATTATGTACTCGTATTATGTACACTATTATTTAACTTAAAAAATGTGTAGGATATATTTTTTCCAATAGCAAATTTCTCATTTCTTTGTTTATTTTATGATACTTACGCTAAGTTTCCCTAAGTCATTCTGCGCTAGTCGTTCCTTACAGTCTCACAGTGTGGAATGAGTTGTTTTTAGCCACGGCATAGCGGCTCATAGAATAACTCCGAGTTTTTGTTTTTTCAACTACAAACTTTTAGGTCATAGCTCCTTCATCTCTTGAATGATTAGAGATCTAATTACAGTTTTGGACTCAGGAGGTCAAACACTTTCGATTGATGTATTTGATCATGCCTGAGGTCTCATAAATTAATTTACTCTAATCCTTCCTAAAAGAATTTGAATGAGGGTAAGCTGGAAGAGATCCTGATGAGTGATAACACTGAATTGGGTATACTCGCGCCCCATGCTTGGTATTGCTCTTTCGCTGGAGAAACCACCAGGATTTCATACTTAGGGACGTTCTTTAAATCCCTCTTGACAATAAATCCTCGTGAGGAATTCAAACTAGCATGGGAAGTAACCTCAATGGGTATATCTCCAATGGCATTTGAATTCAAGAGAAGTTCACCGTGTTTTGGGGTAGATTCCATCAAGATGTCTCCAGAATGAAGCTTCTTGACTGACTTTGGAGAGTGAGCAAACCCTTCTAATCCATTCTGAATAAAAAAAGGGATACATTTGCCCAAAATGTTTGTTAGACAAAGAATGCAAGATGAGAAAAAAAGGTAAAGGTGCAGAATGGGGTGGAGACTGCTGTTCAGTCTTCCAGACATGGTCGCTTACCTATGAGCTGTTTTTTTATTATTTTATTTTTATCAGGACTTGGGGGATCCATAATAGAAGGAGAAAGATTCAATACCCACTGACCCCACCCACGATGGGGTCCTAGGAGAGAATGCACTACAATGCCAAACAAGGACACTACAACAACACCAGGGTTTCGTGAGCACTATACCCAAACACCAGCATCAGACACAATGTCCATAACACCCATTGAGAATTCCCAACACTGGTACTCAGTTGACCCTAGCACAACAGGACCAGCCAATTGATATTGGGGGGGGGGGCACCCCAAGGACACCTGTCTACAAGAATTCAAGGTCAAAGTAGTATGTTGCAGTGCCTCAGACACCATTCAACCACCAGGATCCTCTCCTCCTTTTCACGGGTTGCCACACATGGCAAACACGTGCGTGGATGTTCAGATCCCACAAGAGGTAAACTGAAAATACAGAACCTTCCCTCACCACATACAGAAATCCTGAGGGGTGAAATTATCATATATTGCACATTATTACTGAATGCAATTGACAGAGAAAGTGGTGGTCTCACTTAGGTCTATTTTATCTGAGGCATATATACACGCAAAGGCACATAAAAAAAACAGAAGTTGTATTGTCCAGTTGTCCATACATTTCTTGGTTTTCAAAATAAGTTTTTGTTAATTGTTTGTCTTGACTTCTATGTGCTGGATACCATCATACACAGTATCCCCTAAAATCATAAAAATTGTTCCTATACCATTCACTACCAGAGTATTTCATAAATTACATCATATTGAACAATTTTCTTTTTTGTAACTGCAAAAATTGGATTAAACTATTTACAAAAATACACAAGAGACTCCAACAATAAAAAGAAACATTATATAATTGCAATATTGATAGATTTTGGTTAACTTTTGTTCATTCATCAATTAATAATGAGTTTGTAGTGAACAATTTATAGACCCACAAATCATTTGGTTCATAAATAGCTCAGAAAAACATGTTTGAAAAACTGATGTGTCCATGTGTACCACACTGGTAATTCTAAGGTTACCATCTTTATTACCCATCTCCATTCCAATATAAGAAATGTTGTCATGTGAGGCTGGATACATATAATACATTTCCCTTTGTAAATTTCCTAGTCAAACTATGGAACTCTTGAAATGAATGTAGTAGCACATGGCTTTCAAGAAGCATAAAAGCCAAACCATGAGAAAATGATCATCACTGAATGACAGTAAAACAGGGCTTTCTGTATTGTATTTCAAATTTTATGTGAATTTCCTCAAACATTTAATGTAATAAGGTTCAAATTACTCTACCTATATTTAGATATTTTGTATTACTTACTGTCTAGACCAAAATTATATATGTATCATTTAAAGTTACCATATTTTTCAGTTGTATTTCAAAGATAATTAAATGTTCAAAATCATTTTACCCAAATACATTTTTAGAATCAAAATCATTGATGGACATTTACATTTTAAGTAAGCAAATATTCTCATGACTGTTGATCTTATATTCTTGTGTATAAATATTCAGTTTATATTTTACATTTAAAATCACAAGGCCAGAGATGTTGAAAAGAAATGTGGTTAGTACTAAAATTCATTTTAAGATCAGGGAATGTTTTGTTGCATAGCCAGAAAGTTTTGTAACTGAAGAATCAAATTTGGGAGTTTTAGTTTCAAAACAGTCATATGAGGGTTCACAACTGGATAGTGAATGTTAGCTGGTGTAAAGTAAAAAGCATCAAACAAGTCTACTGACAGAAGAAAGTATGATAAACATCCATTCCAATCTTATCAAAAATAAGAGAAAAACCTAAAAAAGTATAAAATGATGATATAAGTAGTAAAACAAATGAAAACTCAGTGTTAAATCCCCATCTTAAATGGACAACATGCAAAAAAAAAGTTGCATTGTATTAACATAAAACACTTAAATTTAATACATATGAAACAAATCAAAAAGTACTTTGCTCTTTTATCAGAAAATAATAAATATAATAGAAATAAGTCTGCTATAGACCAAGCTGCTTCCTCAGCGATACAAACAGTTTTACAGATTACTAGATCACACCCAAAGGTATATCAAATCAAACAGAAAAACTCTGAAAGAAATATTATGAAATAAGAAAGTACACACCAGTCAAGTTACAAAAAATAAAAATACACAAAGTACTCATTATAAAGAAAAAATAACTGTGGTAGTCACATGAAAGAAAGATAAAGTTTAATTGGATTTGAATTAGTCAATATGAAGCATAGTAAATGATGTGTTTCTTGTGACATTCAAAATAATTAAGTATGGCTACATAAAATTCTGAAGTTAAGAAAAAGTAGTGCAATGTCTAGAAAAATTAAACAGAAGACCTCAACATCCAAATGAGAATGAGATTTTTAGATGATAAAGAATCTGAAAAAGGTCACAGGTAAATCAGGGAATGGACTAACTTAGCAAAATCAAAAACGTATCTCAAGGTTAGAAGTAAACTACAGTATTTTAATCACATTTGACAAGATATTAAAGAAGTTGAATTAAAGTCTAATAGGAGGAATATTCTATTAGCATTAAAACATATTGATTTAAAATATCAAGTAACTGCATAAAGAAATAATTTTAAGTACTATGCAGCCTATTTTTTAGTTTTTGTTATAGACAACTAGCTAGTAAGTTGCATAATTAATGTAATACACAGTGCAGTCAAGGGAAGTGTCACTGAATGAATGATCTAACAAAAAAAGATAATTTGTAATGAGGAATTGCTTATTGGCTGGAGCAATGTTCAATATATTTTGTCTATAGTAAGCACCCATAAATATAACACACCAGATACTTCTATTTCCTTTTTGTTTTTTTGAGAAATTAGTGATAAACTAGAAAAAAATGGCAGCTTGTCACTAGCACCTGTAGCCGACTTTTGGGTTACTGCTATATGATCAACTAGTGGAATTTTACTGTCACTCATATAATGACCCATGGCTTCAAAGTGCATAGAACATTTTTGCACAAATAGGTCATGAATCATACATTTTGAGATTCATGGTTTGGTCATGCTAACCAATAGATCATGACTCACTTCAATTACTAAACTGAAATCTTTCCTAATAATGTACAAGGAAAGTACTACAACTGTAAATGCAACTTCGAAACAATGTTAAAAAAAAACAATTACTGCTACATTTTTCAAAGAAACAATAAAACAAATGGAAAGTGAGCACAGATTCTACCACCATCCATACCAATGTTTATTGAAAATTAGAATGCTGTTCTACAAACATGTTTTACACTATATGCAGACTGGAACACTATGTACAACTTACGAAGTGGTACATACTGACTGCCAAATATATTAACTTAAGGTTTTATTTTTATAATATTCCAAATGTACTTTAAATTCTAACAGCAAAGGAGTTTGTTTTATTTTCCCTTTCTACTTCTGTATCTAATTCTTCATTGGTGGAGCCAAATTAAAGTCAATATCACCACTCATCATAGCCTGTAAAGGAAAAGGTACAAGAAATTTAAAAACCACATGGGCAATAAATACATGACAATATATTCTTGCAATGTCAGCAACAAAGAAAACAACCAACCATTCTTTTTTAAGTCAGTAACCTTTAATAAATTATGTATCAATTATTAATATTTACTAGGTAGGAAAGTGTAAAAATATCTTTGCATTTTACATCAGTTTAATTAATATTAACATTAATGAGTGCATAGCATACAGTGTAAGTACTGAACATCAATAATAGAAAAATTGTTACACATTATCTATTGTAGAAAAGAAAAATATTAATTGTAAATTTTCTTCAACATCATGATAAAATTAATATAACAATAGAAATCACCAATAAACATTCTTAAAAATAACACAAAGATGATCAATTTAATAGTAAAAATAACATTACTTTTTATCTGTTTTTTTATTTAGTATTGTTCAATTGTGTTAAAAGATACTTCTACCATAAACGCAATTTTGGTAACTACACATTTCTCATAGAAGCTATCAGTTCTTAGTTACCCAAGACTGTTATTTTAGGTAATACAGAAATGTATAGCCCAATCTATCATTCGATTTATCACTTTTCACTAAGTTATACCAGTTTCAGGGAATTCCATTAATCATCAGTAACTCTGGACAAGGGCAAATTGAAACAAGAAGACTAGGTTTCATATTGTGGTGGAACACATGTCACATGCATGGTGTTTTAAGATGTCAAAGCAGCAGAAATACCGGGATCAATCCTGGGCTTAGAAAAATCCAAACAACATAAATCAGAAAACTCTTCTTCCTGCCAAATCTGATTAAAAAGAATCAGAAGATCAAGAGAGGTAGGAGAGAGACAGCACAGCATCTCATATTGAACATCTGGTTTGACTAATAATCAGTCAGACAAATGATGCAGAGCAAGTTTCAGTTCCAAAAAAGTGAATGGTCAGTTATGATAAAAAAATAATAATCAGGTCAAAAAGAAAGTGGGAATATTAAGGCTAATGTCTCGATGAACAAAAAGGCAGGAGAACAGGTGAAGGTGTTAGAGTGGTGGGAAAAGGACTGTCAAAAAATTGGAAATTTCCTGCAAGTCGGTCATTTCTTCATCATTAGATTGCAAGATTGAAAAGGGTTGGAACATGAATTTCCTATTCTTCTTATGAATCTTATCTTCAATCTGCTAGTGGTGAAAGAAATGCTGGAAGTGTATTTAATCTAAGACTCCTTCTGGTTTTGAACCTGACCTGCTGGCCATAGACCTTTAGAAAAGCTATATAGTTGGAAAAGTGGGATGTTTGTGAAAGATATCCCAGGTCCATTTCTAAACCTGTCATGCTTTTTGCCAGTTAGGTGACCACACCGTAGAAGATGAGACCATAAAAAAAATGTGTTGAGCTTCCATTTCCAATGTGGTGCAAGAATTACTTGACAATCAACGCAAGCAATTTCCTTTGGAATTATGGAAAATTATCACTGCCTTGTGGATCACTGTCCACCTTCCAAGGAAAAGAAGGAAAGAAAAAAGGTGAAGAAATGGACATATTACCACAATTTTACCAAATTTCATATTATGAGCATGGAAATAGTTATATCTGCAGTATTGAAGAGAAAAAGCTATGATTTGAGAGCAGGCTCTCCTATCACTTTTTTCTATCAACCTAGAGTGCATTGAGTCCATTTTAATTACCCTTTCTGGCTCAAAGGGTCACTCAGGTAAGTTTGAGTGTAAACTCACAACTCAACTTTAAAAATCTACTTCAAAAATATAATTTGAACTTCAACAATTTTTACTACAAATTTCATAAAATTGATATTTTAGAATGCATATTTAGTTTATTAGAAAAATAGCATTTATCTCATATTTTTAAATGTCTAAACTGTAAACATCTCACCTCAACATTTTTTTAAATTTATTTTTGCTGGTTCAAATTTCCAAATTTTCAGTTAACTTAACATTTATTTCATACTTATATAAGTTCTGCTTCTTCAACTATGAATTTATTCATTGAATTCATTTTTAATGTACTGCTCATGGCAAGCCTTGTTGCAGTTATTTTTTTTAAGGCCCCCTGAATAGGGTACAAGCAAATTTGAAGTTAATTATAATTAATACATATTAAGTTAATTACAGAATACGAGCTAATTATTCAAAGTAAATTAGAATATGATGCATCTAACTTTTAAGGATATGTTGAAATTAATCGATTTTATAATAATTATTTAATTGTACAACATTGCAAGTAAGAATGAATTAGGTACATAAAAAACAATATAGTTACTGTACGACATTACGGAAGTATGCCAAAACATTACCCCAAAATAGTTTTTCCTTGTTTTGGCGAAAGCAGAATCTCTAATTACATCTTCATAATCTATTTGCCTAAGCAGTCTTTTCTGAGCAAGGAGAGGGCATTTAAGCATTCATTTAACATCAAAGCATGCAATTAATTTTTTACTCTAGCCATTTTAGAAAAAGCTCTCTCTGCACTGAATTTGTGGCAGGTAGGCATAAGTATATTCTTAATGCCATGTCTATGTTAAGAAATATAGATTCAAGTTTGTTTTTTCTGATTGCTTTGATGCATTGTTGGGCGGATGGTGTTCCACTATTAAAAAAATTCGCAAACTGTACCATTTTATCAGGTAAAGAGATGTCTTAATCTGGAAAGTAAATGTCTCCCAATCTTTTAGCTGAAGCAAAAATTTCAGTGTCATCTAAATTTTTGAAATTAGTTAGAAAACCAAACTTCATTTCTATCACTATATATGCAGCAAGCCGATTGTCCAAACACATTTGTTACTTGTCAACTACTAGTGTAAAATTTTCTACGTGAAACTACCGTGTTCCAGATAAACTAATTCTACCTTCAGAAGTCTCATCATTTACCAGGTTTCTCACAGAAAGACTAGTTTCTCAGCTGTTTACAGAAAATTATTCTGAGTTATTCCCTGCATTATTTACTTAAAAAAAATTATTTTGTAGACTATTACCAATGATGTAAAGTAGTAGGGCTAACATAGAAGGACAGTCGATGGCCAAAAAAAATAAAAAATGACTACACAGGTGAGTGATATATTTCTTGTTTTTCTTATCTATTCTTTATTTATTATTATAAAAGTAACTAAAAATGTAAAAACTTAGAAACTTTTAGACTAGATAAGGTTAAATTAAGTAATATAAATGAATATAATGATAATAATAATAATAATAAAATAAAATTTTTCCACGAGGTCCAAACGCTAGAACTAACAGCTAATGAGTAGCACGAGTTTTATGAAACTTGGTTAGTGTAACATTTCTTTCATGTTACCACATATTTTCACACTTATGGTGGGAATGTTAAGAATCATGGTCCAAAAGGCAATAAAACAATAAACTTTAATTATAAACAGTTGTAAAAGGTTAAGAAGTTTTAAACTATTTAGAGTAAAGAAATGTCGTTTCCTGCTACAATTTGACATAATTCTAGAAAGAAAAAAATGGTAATTTTTATTTATTTTGCACTTTTTTATGGTGGTTACGAGGTCGACCAAATTGATGTAGTCCATATTGAATAAGAATAGAATAAATAACAGATAAAATATGAAGATCTATTGAAAAAGGAAAGAGTTAAACTGATGGTTCGGATCATCAGTATGGGCCCCTCACTGCTTGGGGCCCTGACACAACTACACCACGGTTAATACGGCCCTGGCTCATAGTCCTTAGCAAGCAATTTTTAACATTGAAAATGGGCTATCACATTGAGCAAGTTACTGTCACAGAGATATTTTTGTTTGTTGAATTTCTCACAAAGCTTCTCTAGAGCTATCAGTACTAGCCATTCCTAATTTAGAAGTTATAGACTAGAGGTAAGGCAGCTACCACCAACTCTTGGGTTACTCTTTAATATCAAAGTGAGATAACCATCATATTGTGATGCCACCACATCTAAAAGGGCAAGCATTTATAGGGATGGGGGTTTGATCCCTTGAGCTGCAGATTGTAAGCTCAGCACTACAAGGCCATGCTATGGTAAAGAATACAAACATGCCACATGGAAATTACTCGCAGGGTTAAAAGTTCTGTAGTACAGTCAATCATAAAGCAGCTTGAAGACAAAATTCTTTTAAATATCCTTAAACATTTAGAACACAAGTTTTTGGTTGCTTTTTTATAGTTATAGTTAATGAAAATGTTATTTTTGTACCTGATAATGTTTTTGTGTTATACAAAGTCTGTTGGCAAGCTACAAGAATATTCTTCTATGACAAAACATTAGCTAAAGATACATAGGTTTATTAAGTTTGGTAGACTAGGTTTGTGCAACAAAATATTTTTATTGAATATATATTAAGTTTATTGTATTCAAACAACATACCTAAATACAATAACTTCTTATTTACAGAAAACAAGCTATGTGTATAACTAGTTAGTTATAAACTGATCTCAAATAAACACATTACTGTCAAAATACCATGCTATGACACCTGATAAAGTTAACAGTGATGACATTTTGATGTTACTGATAATTCTTTGTCAGGCTTTCCATACTTGTATTATTTTATAGAAAGGAATTGAATGTTTCAATTAGCTAAATAAAGTATCAAAATAGATAATTTAATGAACAGCAAATAAGTTAAAACTGATTGAATATCTAAAACTTTCTGATGTTTAACAAAAAAATATAAAGTATAAGATGCAAAGGAAGAGTTTTACTGTTTTTTTCAAAAATGTTTCGCAACAAATTTCAATAATTTTATAGCCTAAACGATGATACACATACTCAAATTATATGAATTTTTCAGGTAGTAAATAAGATTTAACACCATATTTAAAAGTTTTATGAAATTTGGTTAAGTATTTTCACTATAAGAAGTTAAAAATATGTTGGATGCTTTTGGCAGCCCCGAGGTCCAAAAAAGGTTAAATCTACCAAAATAATGATGTAGGGAGATGTCAACTTTTCAGTAAGATCAATATCTGCTTAATAGATCGTTTCTCCTGGTGACAGATATAAAAAAGCAGTGTGATGGTACCACCAAAAGAGATATGAATGGTAATAACTTCCAGAGATGTAGTTGGTGCTATAGTCGTAGAAGAAGTATGCTGGCTGATCAACATATGCTACATATGAATTTATGTCAATAAGTTTACTATCAAGCTGTAGATTATAATTCAAATTTTAGTATTGTACATTATTCAATTTCTTAATTCAAAAGTAAATACTAAATAACACACCTAAACATTGATTTATGTGTGTCACGTGGTATGTTGAATGCAGAACTAGTTCAAATTAGATGTTTGTGATGTCAAAAATACAAAGTTTATAGTTTTGTACAAATTAGGAACTCAAATTATCAATATTGACAAGCTAGAATATAAAATAAGAACCTCCTATCTTTTCTATTTGCTGAGATATCGCTCATATACTGAATCAAACACAGTGAATCCGCTCATTTCTTTCCATTTTTGGAAATGCTCCCTTATATACACTTACTTCTGTATACGACATGTGAATACCAATCAAAAGCTCAGAATGTCCCCCTAGTGGCTTTCTCAGCCAATTTCAAGTATTTTGACATCATCTTCTTCTTTTGAAACAAGACTTCAAGAAGATAGGTTGAGTCTTTAGTCTGCTCAAAATTTCATATTTTTTAGACCAAAATACAGCTTAGTTACTAAGCTTGATAAATTATAGTGGAATTATATGGCATCGATATAGTAATTTATGATTTTTTGATTATTCAACTGCATATATAAAACCTAAAAAAAAAATTTTGTTTCACATCTTCCACATGCAAAATTTTAAAAGGCTAAGCAACCAAGTAGAAAGGTCATAACTAGATGATATAATTGTTTGCTTTACTTCTTTATTTAGAGTTCTATGTTTTACGAAAAACAAGTAAGAACGTATTTGTAAATAGTAATAATATATAATGTATAATAATTGAAATCTGACTATTTTACAAAATACTAGTCCATTAAAACACAGCCAAGACAGCTCACTTTGTAAACAGTAAAAGTCAGTTTCATATTATTGGATATGGTAACATGAGTGCACGTGCGCCATGTCATTGTGACTTCTGTATTGTTAGCCAGGCATGGCTGAAAGGTCAATATATATATATATATAAAAATGTAAAATGGTATGAGAGTTAAGTTTAGTCTAAACATTTATGTTTTCATGTTATAATTTGTAGTCATTCCAAAAGAAAGAAAGCATAATTCATATTTATTTCCTAATTTTTTTATGGTGTTTATGAGATTAGTCAAATCGATTGAACCCGAGACTTGTTAGTGAAAATAACAGATAAAATATAAAGTTCTTTCTTATGAAACATTTGATAGTATCTGGACATTTTAAAGATTTTGCATGAGAAATTTAAAATTTTCTGATGAATAAGTGTTTTTAATCTTAAAATGAAAATTACTTTGCATGTTGGATAGGGAACATGTGCAAAAAAAAAAGGCATGAGAGAAACATTACTTAACAAACCTTACGATTTAATAAGAAAATGATATTTTGCATATGAAAGCCTTGGCAAGTTTACTGATAATCTGCCAAATTTCATAAACATACACTTAATAATTTAAAAGTTATAGCATGAAAACTATAACACGCACAAAATGGTTACAATGTCAGTCTCAGAGACCGAGCACGTGCTGAAAGAGTTAATGTTGACAGTATCAACAATTTTCAGAAATGGCTTCTGTAGGATAGTAATAATTAATCAAGGTCTTGATGACATTAAATGAAGCCCAGGTAGGAAGCATTTTATTTTGATTTTTAATAAATTTTTTTTAATCAGTAATACACCTATCAATCTTCACAGACTTTGTCCAGGATGGAATGGACAGATCTATATCAAGTGGCCTGTATTCCACTGAGGAAGTAAGAGACTGAATAATGGTCTTACACTTTTATAAAAACTGATTCAGGGATGGGCTCGATTCATAAAATCTATTTGTCCATGGTTATCTGTTTGTATCCTAGTGTGAGAAGTGTGACATTTTTTCTCTAGGCATCCCCTCTTCTCTAATTTATTCACCACCCCTCCAATAAGTATGAAATTTAATGTAAAGTACTCACTATAATGTCAACATCGCTCATACAAAGCATAATTTTCCTAGACTGCAATCTAGAGCCACAAATATAAAATCAAACCCCTCTTTCCACACCCACCTGTCACATCCTCTCTTTCAGGATTTGTTAATAGTTCTCTTTTATGTTTAATACTATATCATTTATAACTAAGGTTTTCATCTATCAAATGACATATTATATTATGTTGTTTTCTGTAAAGGGAATTGTCAATTACTCTTCTAGTACAAGCTTCATTCCCATGGAAGAGACATCAACTAGCTTGTATGAATTTGTAACAGCTCTTGTCCCATGGTTAGAAAGCCAGAAAAATTGTGATAGTTATGGGACATTGTCTGCTTTTAGCATGATATTATTCATGTTATTTGATGCATTATTTAATTAAATAAAAATTATTTAGTGCACTACTACCATCAGTGTAAAAAAAGTAGGGTTATATGTCATTGACAGTGGTCATAAAAAAAAAAGAAGGCCCAGGTACATACTTGAAATATTTCTTGTTTTTCATGTGTATTCTTCATTTATTATTATTATTATAAAAGTAACTAAAACGTAAGAACTCATCGTGGCCTAGATAAAACAACCTCGTGGGCCAAACATTGCATGTGGCTGCTTCAAAGTATAAGGGCTTGATACTAAGGCAGCTGTTGCTCTAACCAACAGTTGTAGCTATCATGGTCTTTGCAACCACAACAAACAATGAGAGATGGCCAGATGTTTTGGTGTGTCCAAACTGCTAACAGTATGAAATATCTGAGAGAGTTTTGAATACATGGCTTGATCCTGCATTTAAATACACTGCTTTACAATTGTGACTGTGAAACTGAAAACACCAAATGGTTCAATTGTATTCTACTTTACCATATGCAGATTCACTCAAACACTTGAAATATCTTAAATGGACAGTCAAGTCTTGTGGGTCAAATGTATGTTTAAGGGGTATCTCAACAAAAAGTACATACCTAATGGCTTTCGTGTTTGTCCTGTAGTCATTATATTTCAACTAGCAGATTGCAGCTCTTAACACCTTTACTGGATTTTAAAAGTCAGCAAGCTCCTCTAAGCCCTTTTGTATGAATCAAGGAAGACGTCTTGAAAATAAGTTTCTGATAATAATGCAAATTAGAAATTGAGGTACAGTAGTAGACAAAGATACTTTGTGCCTTCAGAATCATATATACATGATCATTTACCGGTTATTTTTTCTTATTGTTTGAGTATCCATAAGGAAAAAGAAAAATTCTGGAGTCCAACGACCCCCCCATTCATCATGGAATTCTACACTGGGGATGATACTGTCAAAAGCAGTACTGTCAGTAACACCAGGGTTTTATAGAAACTATACCCAAACATCAGAAACACACACAATTCCCACAAACCTACTAAGAATGTCCAATACTGTCACACAGCTGATCCTACTAGAATCCTCTCTGCCCCTTCACAGGTGCCACATATAGCTAACACATTAGTAGAAGTTTGGATCCCAATGAAATTAAGCTGCAGAACCTTCCCAGAAAGGTACGCTCACCACAAACAGGAATCCATGTTGAGTAGTAAAATTTAGTCATTTTTCTTTCAATGATGGAAGACTGATGCACGTAACTACTGTATATATCTGATTTAGAACATAAGATAAAAACACACTCAAAAATAATTCATTCAAATAAAGAAAATATATTTTTAAAAAATGCCAGTAGGTACAATTCTGGTTAGTGCTATGGAATTTGCTATTTTGTTGTTTAACTTCTATGTATTTGTGATAAATATGCAAGATGAAATACAGATTGAATTTAAAATTCTATATACTTACATAAGCTACTGATCCAATAAAAAATCCTGTTCCCAGCAGAAGTTGGATGTTGTATTTGGTTTGTTTCTTATTATATACTTCTTGCCAAGATCCTGAAGGAACTGGGAGATCATTCATAGATGGAGGCTTATAGTGGGTTGGTGCATGTCCTGCCATTCCTCGTTTGCATTGTCCTATAAAAAAAATTTTTTTTCAGTTGATAATATAAACTGTTTAAAAAATAACTTCACAAAAGACACAATGATTTATTATGAATGTATACTTCACTTATATTTTTTTTATGGATAACTTTTCAAGCCAAGACTTTATCAGGTCTAATTCTATGATTGATTGTTTTTGTGGATGGAGAGGCTAACTGTCAATCATTAACTTGGTTTGTTATGTTTGATCTTTTTTTTAACAATATGAGAATACATGTCTATGTGATATCTACATTAGTTATTCCTCAAGACTCAAGGTCCTGATGGCTTATACATACATGTGCACATTAGACATAGGCAATTAATTTGATTAACTGATTACACTATAAGCATGAGCATTGATCACATAGATTAGTGCCACATAAAAATCATCAGTTAATTGAAATTATGATCAAGTCAGTTTGACATGGTAACAATCAACTAACATTTCCAATTATGATAGTTTTTAATTATTCCAAGTATCTAAGTAATGAAAATATCACCATTATGAATTTATTATTATTTTAAAATAATTCAAGTTTGTTCAAGTTAATCAATTAATTGCTGATACAAATAATAACTTTTGGGTCTTTTTGGCTCCCTTTGCACTAAAATATTGTGTACAAAATTAATTTTATACCCATAATTAGGAAGACGTGCAATTTCACTAATTTTTGGAAAGGCAAATTACATACCCAACTCTTCCCTTGGTGAAAGCCAAATATATTCATTTAAAGTCTACATGTAAAAGTGAACTCTCATTCCAGTCCATAATGGGCTTTCTTTTTGAAGATCTTGTAATGTACTTCAGACATTTTACATTAAACATTTTGCAAGTTATTTTAAGGAGATTGCACTCTTGGTCATTTTTCTCTTGAAAACATGGAAAATATGTACAAATTGGCTAAAAATGAGCAAAATATGTGCAGGGATTTTCATTACCATTCATTCTCCAATAACATTGTTGTAAGACAGGGAAAGTGGATTGGAAGCGAGTAAGGGCAGAAGTCAAGTTGAGAAACTTAATATAAATGGTAAAGCAGTTGTGTCACTTCTTGTTCAAAACAGCCCATTTCACAGTAGAGATGTGGTTAAGGTTTATGCTGTCTGAATTTGATATGTTTAATGCATTAAATTCAATAATACTCTTAAATTTTGTTTCTACAAAAAACTATATTCTACACCAAGAAGTAGGAAATATACTAAAAATATTTTAATTATGATATATTTCTCTAATTCAGGCTTAAGTGCTTATTCTAACTTTAGTATAACCAGAAGTTAAATGTTGTGAATCAGAAAAGAGCAGAAAACTTAAATGGCAGCAATATCTATATTCTTCACATTGAAGCTGGATATTTTATTACTATATATTTTGGTTATTATGGGAAACATGACAAAATGGTGAAACTGTTATTGTGGTGCAAGTTTTCTTCAAACTCAACAATTTACAATAGCTACTGCAGTAATGATATACAGGTTATTCTACAAGATATTTTTAATTTTCAATATTTGGAAAAGTTTAATATGAATTTTGTTTGCTTTTCAACTACTAAGTTAGCACATCAAAGTTCATCATCAGGTCAACTTATTTAGGAGGAGATGTGTCCACAGACAAAGTTTTGCTTGATACTGGATATTTACTGCACCTCTATTCTCCTCTACCTCTAACAAATAAGACAAGTTTATGGTCACTTTGTATCTCAAGTATTTATGTCAACAGATGCCTGTTCACTTGGATGTAGTAGTGCTTAATTGTCTTAATGTAGTTTTGTTCATATAAAAGTGTAAACTCAATCCTTGGAAATAAGTATATAAAACTTATTTTAACTCGTTCCTAATAGTTATCTCAGTAGTCACTGTTCTGTTTAGTGTTTTTCTGACTTATATTTGATGTCACAATGTTTACATTCATCAAGAAAAATTCAGTAGCTCTGGTAGTTAGCATACCTTTTCATGTACGTTTGTGTGTAAAATATATACAGATTTGGGTCAGGATGGACTAAATTGAATATGCTTGCATCCTATAGGTGCACAACAATTAGTTTTTTTTTAATATATTTTCAGAGGAGATTAAATCAAAATACAAAATTGGCATATTATGACCATTATAGAAAAACTAATCATGATAGCACATGCAAAATAATCAAAATTGCCAAACTGTATTTGGCTCCTATTACTTATTATACTGTTGTTGCTCATAAATTCTATAATAATATATTCAGAAGAAGACTGCCACTTTCACCAATCTCTTGATTTTCCTTAATGCTTTGAGGCAGGAAGAATCACTTAGGATACACACCTCAACATTATAACTTCAATAAGGAATGTAAGTGTAACTCTGTTCCATGAATTTCTTTAATTAAACTTTTAATAAGTTATATTTAAACAATAAAGAATATTTATTTCACAAATTAAAATTGAAAAAAAACAATTCAAACATACTTCATCTTTCATAAAACTTGGTGTGAACTGTAAACATCACACTTCTAGATTTTTTATCTTTTTTCCTATTTCTAAAGTTTATTTCTCCCAATCAACATTTTCTGTTAGCTTGATGTTTATGTTATGCTTTTACACCTTCTGTTTGATCGAAAAATGTTTTTCACTAATACTTTAGCTGAAAATACAATAGTATTGTGTGAAAATCAGTCAAAAACTTAAAAAGTTTCATGCTAGTTTTGTCAACTATAATAAAAGTAATAAAGCAGCTTGAAGACAATTTTAAAAACCTCCTTAAAAGATTTTTCTTTGTTTCCTGATGATTTTTTTTTTTTGCATGTTATTAAATATTACTACATTTATTGGTAGGTTACAAGAATATTCTTTTATAACAAGAAAACACCAAATACAGATATTAGTGAGTACAATAGGCTAGGTCTATGTTGGCAAACCAATCAGATGACACAAATCCCCCTTTTTCTGTAATATAGAATACAATATAAATTACTCTGTAAAGAAGCTACCAATGTCAAAATATCAACCTATGACACCTGGTAAAGAATGGTGATACCATTTTGAAAAATGAGAACATCTGTCACTGATAATTTTGAGTCTTACTATATACGTATGGTTTATAGTGGGATTAGTCTGCTTTTCTAATAATGAGTGAATTCTTAAAGCTCCTCAGTTGAGTATTAAGGTGATAAATTGAAATAAGTAAAATTTTTGAAGATTTATGAGCAGCTGTGAAATTCTTTGTTATATCACAACATGATTAATCTATAGTGTCATGTTAAACTGGAAGTAAATAAAAGCATAAAGTTCAGTTAATCTCAAATGATCTATTTAAATAGTAACAAAGATTACTACAAAAATATTTAATATTCCTTAGCAAACAATGTTATAGTGAAAGGTTAATTATATTTAATACAAATTACATGATTATCTGTATCAATTTATCAATATTTGAAACTATACATTTGAGGAAATCACAAGGAATCCCAAGTTTTATGTGGAGTTTCTAAACATTACGGGGCACTCCAAGAGGTCTTGTGAAAATTTGTAGGGAGAAACCCATGAAACAATATTAGTCATATTTTCAGCTTGTTAAAGGCTTCATATAATGTTGTGTATATGACAAATGTTCATGTACAACAGATTAGAATTAATAAAATAATTCAATACTAAATTGTTGTAACCTTAGATTTTTTGTCAGGTTAAACAAAGGGTAGTTTGAAAATGATTTTACAAACACCAAAAACAAGTTAAAAACAGGAATATAACCTCTTGTAAGAACAATCATTTACTAGAATGCAATCAATTAATAAGCTCAACAGTCAACTGATTAGGAAATTACAAATCACTGAACTCTACAAAATGTAAAGTATTCATATAAAACACCATAGCATAAATTATTTAATACAACAACTCATCTTTGGGCCTGGCCTGGTGGTTAGGGTGCTCAACTTAAATGTTCAAATCCCTGATGCCAAACATGCTTATCTTACATGGTTGCCAACTAGGCTAGCAACCTGGCTTACAAAAATAACGGCCAACCCCAAAGTAGTTGGGTTGAAGTACATAACAAAAAAAAATACAATAAAGTTAAGGGGCAAGGATCATAAAAGGATGTCAGAAATACATTTTCAGCGTAGGAAAAATATAACATCTAAATAGCTAAAGATAAAAAATACACTTAAAAACTGTTTTATATAAAAAGTTTACCATGTAATTAAATTGACTGTTATTTGATTATTACCATGCAATACTGTACCTTACTTCCATTCACATACATAGCTAGAATCCCACACTGAATAGGTGGAGGGAACCCTCTAATAAGATAATTATATGTGGGAGACTGCACCACTTCTGTACCAAATATACTCTTTGCCCAGATGTGGAAAAGGTGTGACAGATATGGGTGAAAAGTTGTGAGGTGCACATCCCAATGGGACAGAAAACAGTTGGACAGTGATTCTAACCACAATATCTTATAATTTCAATCTCCCTGGTGAACAGAATGTGGGTAAAATAAGGGATGTGCCCTAAGGTGTAAAGTGGCTAGAGCATGAGGGATCATACATGGTAAGTCAACTGCACCCAAAACTTAGCCGCTGGGAATCAATATCCATGCAGGGTAGGAAAAAGGATTATACTGTCACACCTTATTCATCTCAAGTTCAGCTGACTGGGGAAGAAATCTTACCACCAATCTGTCAACAGGGCATATGTAAGCCGAATGAAACAACATACATATATGCTTGGAGACGGCTTGAATGGGTAATAAAGAAAAACTTTAATATAAGTTTAACATAACAGCAAATGTACAATGTTTTGACAAGGTTTTGTCATCATCAGGTACTTTGGGGTACCTGATGATGACAAAACCTTGTTGAAACATTGTACATTTACTTGAGGCAAACTGAGTGAGGGACCAGGGTCACCCTGAACACCTGTGTGGGGGCTTATGTTTATTGGTTCAGCTCTAAATCCAAAACTCAACCGCTGGGAACCAACATCCATGCAGGAGTACAATGAGGGGTCCCAATCGGCAC